TAGGACAAGAGGGCACAGACTCAAGCTCTGCCAGGGGAGGTTTAGGTTGGATATTAGGAAGAGATTTTTTACAGAGAGAGTAGTTAGGCATTGGAATGGGCTGCTGGGGGAGGTGGTGGAGGCCTGGAGGTTTTCAAGAGGAGACTAGATGTGGCACTTAGTGCCATGGTCTAGTAACCACCGTATGGTTGGATTTGATGATCTTGGAGGCCTTTTCCAAGCCAGCTGATTCTATGATTTTATGGCATCAAGGATGTGCAGGCATGGAGGGACTGGCAGCAGGGACTGAAGTGCAGGGGAGATGATAGATTCATTAGAATCAACTGGGTTGGAAAACCAGATCATTACAATCGGCTTGGAAAACCCACGGGGCATGTTGATCAGTTGATCAAGAGATCATTAGTAATAAAAGATATGACTATTAGTAATCTCTAATTCCTTTACTACAGATCACTATAAATTGTCATTTCCGTGGGTTGAGTCAAGCCAGAGGGTAATGAAAGCTACTCCAAGCTTACAAACAGCAAAGCAAATAGATAGAGGATATCATTAGTTATTCCAAATAACAACTAATGAAGTAACAAGGGTGTAGTATGCTAGTTGGAGTTACAGAAACACACTTTGCCAGTCTCAACTGCTGTTGAAGTGTATGATATCTAGTTTTAGAGAGAGATCAAAGCAGTTGAAAGCTGCAGGAAAGAATTTGGTTTGCCTAGGTGCTGTTTTGGCAGCTGAAATCAAGGTTTTCTTGTAGAGTATGCTAGTTGGAGTTACAGAAACACACTTTGCAAGTCTCAGCTGCTGTTGAAGTGCATGAAATCTAGTTTTAGATAGAGATCAGTGCAGCTGAAAGCTGCAGGAAGGAATTTGATTTGCCTAGCAGCAGTTTTGTTAGCTGAAATCAAGGTTTTTCTTGTAGAGTATGCTAGTTTGACTTACAGAAACACAGTTTGGAGGTCTCAACTGCTGTTGACGTGCATGAAATCTAGTTTTAGAGACAGATCAGAGCAGTTGAAAGCTGCAGGAAAGAACCCTAACCCCTAATCCCTAACCCTAAACCTAACGCTAACCCTAACCCTAACACCCTAACCCTTATCACCCTAACCCTTATCACCCTAACCCTAACCCCTTACCCTAACTCATAACCCTCACCCTTACCCTAACCCTCACCCTAACCTTAATATTTTTTACATTTCTTTTAAAATTTTGCTCTGTGTTGTCTTTTAAAAATTGCTCTGTGTTGAGTTGTATTGCTCTGTATTGGTTGTATTGCTCTGTATTGATTGTATTGCTCTGTATTGAGTTGTATTGCTCTGTATTTGCCTGTATTGAGTTGTGTTGCTCTGTATTGAGGTGTATTGCTCTGTGTTGCTCTGTGTTGCCCTGTATTGAGGTGTATTGCTCTGTGTTGCTCTGTATTGAGGTGTGTTGCTCTGTATTGGCTTGTGTTGCTCTGTATTGAGGTGTATTGCTCTGTGTTGTTCTGTATTGCTCTGTGTTGCTCTGTCTTGCGCT